GAACATTTGTGGTTGATACCAGTCTTACATGTGGTGATAATAAATCTTATATTTTATTTATAAGTATTCAGTCAGCAATGGCATCCAATCATAATAAATGTCAAAACAGCTATTTATTTTTTAATTGTGACTTTCAGGAAAGGGTAGAATGTTGTATTCTTGGCAGCATTATTGTTCATGCCCACTTTCCTGAGATTACTAACCACTTCTGAAAACAACCTTTGGCATTTATATAGAGCAAATCATGGTGTTATTCAGGCTTACCTTTTCTTTTGACTGTGCAATTACTATTGGGTTGAAGGATTGCTGCTGAATTTGTCTTGCCCACTCACTAGATTATTAATCAGTGCGAACAATAAAAATGCGGCCTTAATGCTGCAGAAGGAAAACATGACTAGCATTATGCATGAACTGAACACAGCTTCTTATTGATGTTTATATTCAAACCCATGAATATAAGCTCATTAAAACAGAATAAAAGACTCCTTCTAGCAAACCCCCTGGAAAATGAATGAATATTGATGGAAAACTCACATGCAAGCTACTTTATGGTTCTTTCAAAATGTAGATGCTAAATTCCATCAGTACAGAAGAAATGTAATACACATGTTAATCTGCTTTCCCTTTGGGTGCATCTACACTGTAGAATGAATGAAGTTTGACAGCACTTGAATTATCATGGCTCAATGCTATGGAATCATGGTAGTTGTAGTTTTACAAGGGCTGTAGCCTTCTCTGCCAAAGAGTCCTGGTGCCTTACCAAACTACAACTCAAACTACAGTTTAAAGCAGATATTCTGGGATATAGGGCTGTGTGGAAGGGTTTCCCTTCCTCTTCTGCCACCACCTCCTTCTCCTTCCACCTCTACTGTACTAATATTCTCCAAAGCAAAACATCCATCACAATTTATAGAGGAGATGTCAAAACAATGGAAGGTTTTGTGGAACAGGAAAAAAGAAAAAGCTGACACTTTCTGAAATAATGGGAGTTGTAGTTGAAGAACTGTAACTATAAATATTATTCAGAGGCTGTGAGGTTCATGGAAGAGAAATCCCTGGTTGTACTGAACAATCCAGATTATAAAAAAGGAATATACTTTTCGACTTCAAACATGTCCATAATCTCACCTTGGATTGTTTTACTGTGTTGTTTTAGTGCTGGGCTATGAGTTTGATTTTCTGCTTGGCCATTGAGTGACCTTGGGTGACCAACACACTCTCAGTATTGGAAAATCACATGATCGAGTCACCATAAGCCAGAAATGGCTTTGAAGGCACACAACAATCACAGGAAGGAAATAGATGAGCACTAAAGGGAGCATTTTATCCTGGTGAGCAGACCCCAATGATTTATGTGATTGCAATTAGCAGCTTCTATTGTGCAGGTACAACTGTACCAGGAGCTCCAACTTTGTTTGCTTTGCATTGAATGTTTGTTGTAGTCCTAAGTTTCAGGGACTCTGCAGATAGGTAGCTTCATAGGGCAAGCCACCTGTCAATTATAGTTAGGTTCCCTGGTCCCGCCCCCTTTTGGGGTTTTTGGAGGGAATAGGTGCCATTTTGGGTTCAGTCCATACAGAGAAGCCTTTCATGCAGGACATAAAACCAAGAGCTCCTGTAGAAAGCTTCGTCTTCTACAGCTTGGCCGGGGAGAAAGGTCCCATAGCTTGGCCGAGGATTATACAGCCTTACAGCTCCTTTGCTGAGGGAGTTCAGCCAGCCATCACTGAAACCTGAACTCCTTTTTCCTCTGGAAGTCTACAAAGCTCTGCTTGGTAAGGGTCACTCGTGGAAGCCAGAAGCAGTTGGTACCGGGTGCAGGGGCTCCACGCCAACAGAGGCAAAGACAGACTGACCAGATTAGAAGTTAAGCATTTCCCCATTAATTAGTATACAGTTATGAAGATAGTGCCTGTTCCCTGTGGACAAGATTGAGAGAGCCAATAAACTGTTAAGAAAGCCTTAAAGTACCTGTTTGTTTTCAATAATAAAGAACTTTGTTGAACCTTTAAGCAATCTAAAGATTCTGTCTTAAGGAAATCCAAGGGCCTTTAATCTGAGGCAGCCCCGGCGTCTCATTGGGCACACAGAATTTATGTCCTGTCCTCAGTCTTATGCACAGGTCCAGCGTGCAACAGCACATCTATTAATACAGCTGTAAGTAGTTAAATTTATTTATCATATCAGAAGCAAACCAAGGGCACAGTTGTAATGTATTTTAAAAAAATGCAAAGTTTAAAAACTTGGCATTATATTAAATGTCCTTTGGCCAGTAGCTGGCCACTTGGAGTGACTCTGGTGTGGCTATAAGGAGATCCTCCATTGTGCATGTTGTAGTGCTCAAACTGCATTGTAATAGGTGGTCTGTGGTTTGCTCTTCTCCACACTCACATGTTGTGAACTCCACCTTAAAGCCCCATTTCGAAAGATTGGCTCTGATCTTGTCGTACCAGAGCATAGACTTCCAAGTTACCCAGTCTTTTGTGTGTCCAGAAGGGAGAGAGTAGATAAATGAATAGGAGGGAAGCTAAAACCTACACAATTCCCTTTTGGAGAACCGCTAGCACATGTTTCAAGGGAATGTACTCTTTCTTTCATGCTGCTGATATAGTGGATTGTGCTTATAAAAATTCTCAGCCATGATCTAATTATTATGATGGATCACCCATTAACTACCAAGACTTCCTTCTGAAAGCCATCTTTTTTTTAAAAAAAACTAACTGACTGCAGATTTAGATTCAAATGCCTAAAAGCCCAGGATAACAGCTTGGTTGCTCACTAATGATGTCAGGCAACATCTGTAAGATCACGGGAGGAAACAGACGGTGAAGAACAGTCATTAAAAACCTTACACTTTAAAAAAAAGTGGAAAAAGCCCCAAGAGCAGGCATAAAATGTATATAAATCCATAAAGTGTTTTCTTAAAGGGGACAGCTTCAGCTCTGTACAATTATGTATGCATTTGCTTTATTTTTATCCCGCTTTTCTCAACGTGGCTCACAATAACTATTTGAAAATGCTAATTAAAACTAACGTGATTGCATTAAAATATAAATATATAATTATTTATTAAAGCTTTCTACCAACCTTAAAACCCCAACCACTCTTTTTAAAAAACCCATCCCTTATCAGTTTATAATTATCACTTTATAAATGCCTAAACTGTTGAGCTGCTAAACCTGATGACCGAAAGGTTGGGGGTTCGAATCCAGGGAATGGAGTGAGCTCTTGCTGTTAGCCACAGCTTCTGCCAATCTAGCAGTTCGAAAACAGGTAACGGTGCTCCATGCAGTCATGCCGGCCACATGACCTTAGTGGCGTCTACAAACAATTGGTTTAGAAATGGAGATGAACACTCCCTACCCACAACCCCCAGAGTCAGACACGACAAGACTTAACATCAAGGTGAAACCTTTACCTTTTCCTTAATGGTAGAGGAATACTTTCAGGTACAACCATGTAAATGGAAGAGCCAAAATCAAACTGGACATATTAATTGCACGGATTAGTTTATTATTGTATATGCTCTGGTTTTATTTTGTTGTAATTTGTTGTCTGGGCTTGGCCCTATGTAAGCTGCTCCGAGTCCCCATTGGGGAGATGGTGGCAGGGTATAAATAAAGATTATTATTATTATTATTATTATTATTATTAGTCTTATGAATGAAATAAGAGTCAATAGGAGTTTCAGAGGGAATTTCTCCAGAAATGTGGACAGCATTGCAGAGATATTTGGAGGTGCTCTTTCTTTCAAAATATACACAGGCAGTCCCCAAGTTAAGAACGAGATGGGTTTGTTCTTAAATTCAATTTGTATGTAAGTTGGAACATTTATAAAGTATAATTACACACACACACACATATCTATAGAGTTTGTTTTGCTGCCTATGCCCTTGTTCAGAAGATTCCACCTCACTTTCTGTCCCCATGATAATTGGATTTTGAAAAATGTGGCAGAATAGAGGGGTAGCATGACTTTCCTGGATCTAGACACTATGCTCCTATTGATGCAGGTCAAAATCCCATTGGGTTTTGTTTGTTTGTTTGTTTGTTTTTTGCCGCTGCAACACATTGTTGGCTCATGTTTAACTTGTTGTCCACGAGGACTCCAAGATCTTTTTCACACGTACTGCTCTCGAGCCACACGTCCCCGATTCTGTATCTTTGCATTTCATTTTTTCTGCCTAAGTGGAGTATCTTGCATTTGTCACTGTTGAACTTCATTTTGTTAGTTTTCGCCCATCGTATCTTTAATTTGTTAAGCTTGTTTTGAATTCTGCTCCTGCCTTCTGGAGTATTGGCTGTTGTTCATTCATTCAGTCGATTCCGACTCTTCGTGACCTCACGGACTTGAGCTCCCTGTCGGCCGTCACCACCCCCAGCTCCTTCAAGGTCAAGCCAGTCACTTCAAGGATGCCATCCACCCATCTTGCCCTTGGTCGGCCCCTCTTCCTTTTTCCTTCCACTTTCCACAGCATCATTGTCTTCTCTAAGCTTTCCTGTCTTCTCATGATGTGGCCCAAGTAATTCATACTGGAGTATTGGCTTTGTTGTTCATTCGTTCAGTCGTCTCCGACTCTTTGTGACCTCATGGACCAGCCCACGCCAGAGCTCCCTGTCGGCCGTCACCACCCCCAGCTCCTTCAAGGTCAGTCCAGTCACTTCAAGGATGCCATCCATCCATCTTGTCCTTGGTCGGCCCCTCTTCCTTTTGCTTTCCATTTTCCCCAGCATAATTGTCTTCTCTAGGCTTATTGGCTATCCCAATTTATAAAGCACATAGGCCAAAAAGAATAATAATCCCTTTTTTTTTTTTAGTAAGAGTGGCTTTACTTTGAAGTGAGGATGGCAGAAAAGGGAAAAATGAGTTCCCCACTCAAAACAATTAAAGACCCAATCTGTGCTAGCTTGAGTCAGCAGAAGCACTCTCTTAAGCAAAGACTACATTACCCAGGAGCCTCTGCGGCTCAGGGTTCTCTCTCTCTCTCTCTCTCTCTCTCTTCCTGTTTTGGCTTTGCCGGGACTACGCTACCCAGAAGCTCTCGCGAGAGCCAGCTCATTCAGGAAGTGTTGCGGCGCCGGCTCCAGCGCTGTCGTGGCCTTTGTGGGGTGATCGGAAGGGGAGTTCGTGGTGAGGCCTTGGCCCCTGGGATCCGCGGGAGGAGAGGCCTTTCCCCTCTAGCCATCCCTCCCTTTCCTTGGCGAGCCGTCATGAGGAGGGCCGGGCTGGGTGAGTGAGGACGGGGGGCTTCTTTCCCGCCCTGCTTTAAGGGGGGCTGAGAAGGAGAAGAAGGGGAGGGACTCTCATGAAGGCCCAAGCCAAGGCAGGCAGCACCACAGAGAGCTTTGGGGCACACACACACATACATATAAGTGTCAGATTATATATATCAGGCTTGGGCAAACTTCGTCCCTCCAGGTGTTTTGAACTTCAACTCCCACAATTTCTTACAGCCGGTAGGTTGGGTTGCTGTTAAGTTTTTCTGGCTGTATGACCATGTTCCAGAAGCATTCTCTCCTAGTTTCCAGCAGACCTCACAACATCTGAGGATGCCTGCCATAGATGCGGGCAAAACGTCAGGAGAGAATGCTTCTGGAACATGGCCATACAGCCAGAAAAACTTAACAGCAACCCAGTGATTCTGTCCACGAAGGACTTTAACAACACAGCCAGCAGGTTGTTATGAATTGTGGGAGTTGAAGTTCAAAACACCTGGAGGGATGAAGTTAGCCCATGCCTGATATATATGCATATGTAATGTGTGTTTATATAATATTGATGTAGATAACATCTTCATGTGTGTATGTATACACACACATTATATATACATATACATACACAAATTTATTACCTATATATAAATAATATAATAATACACTTTATTTATAACCTGTTACCATCTCCCCAATGGGGACTCGGTGCAGCTAACATGAGGCCAAGCCCAAAATAATACAACATAATAAACACACAGTAACAAAATACATCATAACAAAATATAAGATAACAAAACCAACAACATAAAACAGCATATTAAAACCAGACACGGAGGGCGGGCCAAATGTGTGAGGTAAAATGTTTAAAAAGTTAAAACCCTGGGTGAGATAGGGATAAAAGTGCATTAGTAGGAAAGGAGCCCAACAGGGAGAAACCATGGGATTTAGCCATTTTAGGGGGTGGGGGGAGGAGAGATGCTTTTTTCTGAGGGCAGCTGTAGACTAAGACAACCAGATGGGTTGAATGGTCATTCTCCAAAAGCACAATGGAAGAGCCAGGTTTTTAGGTCTTTCTTAAAACCAGCTAAGGTGGGGGCTTGCCTGATCTCCTTAGGCAGCGAATTCCAAAAGTGGGGGGCCTCAGCGGAAAAGGCCCTCTCCCTTGTTCCCATAAGACGAGTCTGTGATAGAAGAAGGGGCGAGAGAAGGGCCTCTTCAGCGGATCGAAGAGATCGTGCAGGTTTGTGGTAGGAGATCTAGTCACAAAGGTAGGTGGGTCCCAAACCGTTCAGGGCTTTGTAGGTAATAACCTGCACCTTGAATACATATTAAACACACACATTGTATATGAAAACACACTTATGTATCTATATCTATATACACAAACTATCTATCTATTCTCATATAGAATCATAGAATTGGAAGAGAGCTCATGGGCCATCCAGTCCAGCCCCCTGCCAAGAAGCATATACATATAGATGCATTCATACATAGACACATAAATGCATTAACACTTAACTCTTGGAATGATTCCATAAGCTCTGCTTCCAAAAATTCCTTCAAATCTCTTGGGAAGACAGGTGAACAAATGTCAGTGTGCTGGAAGAAGTGAAGACTGCCATCACTGAAGCGATGATTGTCCACCGTCAACTCCTTGTCCAAATACCTGATCACCATCTCCCAAAGTGGTTACTGTACTCGGAAGATTGGTGGACAGGAAATGAGATTTAAAGATGGGCTTAAAGCCAGCCTTAAAAACTGTGGTATAGACACTGAGAACTGGGAAGCCCTGGCCCTTGAGCACTCTAACTGGAGGTCAGCTGTGACCAGTAGTGCTGCAGAATTCAAAGAGGTATGAATGAAGGGCGAAAGAGAAATGCGCCAAGAGGAAGGCGTGTCAAGTCAACTCTGACTGGGACCACCTTCCATCTGGAAAATGATGCCCTCACTGTGGAAGAATATGCGGCTCAAGAGTAGGTCTCCACAGTCACCTACAGGCCCACCACTAAGACACAACACTTGGAAGGCCATCCTACTTGGACACGAGTGATCATTGATGATAACACTTTTATATATATAAAATACACACACATACATACACACACACCTACATGTGCACACACACTTTATACACGCACACATATATATTCACATATATCTACATGTACACAAATAACATATACACACATCTGTATGTACACATACCTTATATATACACACAGAGACAATTTATGTGCAATATATACATATTTACATACATAAACATGCATTATATACACACATCTACATGCACACATACATTATATACATACACACATATACACACATATTTACATAAACATGCATTACATATTATGTAAACTCACTTATATATGTATGCATAATTTATAATATGCATGTATGCACACACATATATATGTATTTATCTACACACATAAACATACATTATATATACACACATAATTTTATGTATACATAAACACATATATGCATGTGTATGCATGTATTCTCTCTTTTAAGAGAAAAGTAGCATATTAATAAATGTAACTATTGCTATATATACACACATACATATAAAAATTGATTTCCTACCTATCTGAACTACAGTGACCCTCAACCAATAAGTCTAGGTGTAGAAGAAGTCCACAAATAGGGTTTTATATGAAGAGGCTGCAACCTTATTTCACTTCCGGTATTCAAAGCAATTCCTTGCCTTCTTTAAGATATAGATGGGAAACCTTAATCCCTTGGGTATGGTAGCCAGTTCAGATCATCCCAAACCCTGAGGTTTCCATGGCAAAACCTGAAACCTGGGGTGCATTTGGACTGTAGAACTAATGCTGTTTGACATAATTTGAACTGCCATGTCTCATGCTATGGCATCATGGGAGTTGTAGTTTGATCAGGTCTTTAGCCCTCTCTGCCAAAGAGTGCTGGTGCGTCACCAACCAAAAATCTCATGATTCCATCTCATAGTGCCATGGCAATGAAAGTGCTGTCAAATCCCATTAATTCTACAGTGATAATAAACCCTTAGGAAGGCTTTCAGTCAATGTTACTTAATTAGCATATGCTTTCAATGTTTTATTCATAACATTCACAAATTATATTCAAGGTGTCCTCAATACCCTTTAATCACTATTAATAACTAGGATGATGATTTGAAGAATAAGTAAATTTATTTATGTTGAAGAATAAATGTTATTATATTTAATCAGAGGTGATGGGCTCGTAACCTTAATGGAGAAAGTATTGTAACATAATATTTATTTTTCAGTAGAGATATATTTACTTTTCAAATAATCACCATTTTGTTCAGGTGTTCATTGTGTAGGTAGAATGATCAAATGAGCTTGCTTAGATACTTAAGCCCAATGTTCTCTGTGATTCATGTTGTGCTCACATGGAATACTTCTTGCAGAAATACTACTAGGATGATAGAATGTATCATTTGTTTTTATTCTTGAATGAAATCCAAACTACCAGTCATACAGCTCTAGTGCCAAATTAAAATGAAGCATATATTACTTGCTGTTTGAAGCTTTGCTGTTATACTTGTTGTATGACTACATTGGCTTTTGTGTGACCTGTTCCAATTCTGCACCGCAGGCACATTCATTTGAATTGTATATGGCTGCTTTCCAAGGTTTGCGTCAGTTTGTACTTTGTGTTAGGAAAAGTGGGTCTGGCTCTCTGGTGGCAGCCACTAGTTGACATAATTTAGAAAGAGAATTGGACAAATTCAGAGGTCATCAATAATTATTATTCATGAGGAAACTACTACCTCAGCACACTAGTTGCTGACTGTCAATGGAACAAACCTTGCGTTTCCAATAAGCATCTGAGTGCAACTGCAGGATGATGGGTTAGAGCAGTGGTTCTCAACCTGTGGTTCCCAGATGTTTTGGCCTTCAACTTCCAGAAATCCTAACAGCTGGTAAACTGGCTAGTATTTCTGGGAGTTGTAGGCCAAAACACCTGGGGATTCACAGGTTGAGAACCACTTGGTTAGAGGGACAGACCTTTAGTGATATCCAGCAGATCTCTTCCTTGCAGCTAGCAAAAAATATATAGAAGACCTTGCTGTCTTTGGTCAATCAAATCTCCTTCCAGTCATCAGGTTTCTATTTTCTGACTGTGATCTCTAGCAATTATCTGCTGGATGCTTTACATATAGGTGGCTAAAGACAGGAAGAGTCAGGTCTACAACAGCTTCCTGCAAGGGAGTTTGCTTAATTTCATCAGTAAACTAACAGAAAATTGAGGTAGTCTTGAATCGTCTGGATTCTATGCATATAATGATTAGGAACTGGAAAATACAACACACTGCAGTCTAACCAAGAAAGTTCAACCTGAATGAAAGAGTAGCATCTGTCTGTTGGTCTTGTATGAAATTGAAACCACATTGGGAATAGACTAATCCTCCCCTTCTTGGGCAAAGGAAGCATCTAACCAATACAGTGTCTGTCTTCTTTGAACAAAGCTTCTTTTAGGTCCACTAGCACAACTCTTTCTGGTCAATGTCCAGTGGAACTAGGCCATGAAGTTGCATTGGAGGACCTGGATTGCATTGGAGAACCATATTAATCGAATCCTCTAATGTATAGTATTTGTCTTTATGTTTGCAATTGCTTAAGGACTCTAAATCATGAGTCTTTGTGCTAGAAGTGTTGGACTGAGATACTTGCTACAATGGAGCAAATGAGTATATTTTTGAACTTTGGGATGTTGAATTTATAAACACTGCCCCAAAGCCCTCTAAAAAAGTCCTGTAGGAGAACATGTTTTGCGTTATTGTCTGGAAATGATAACTGAGGTTCCAAGGAAAATCTGGCTGCTATGTTTCTTTTGTATCAAGCAGAAAGTGGACATCTGGTCCTCTGTTAGACGTCTCTTGTTCATGATACATAATTTACAAACTTTGACCATATAACACAGTTGCTTAGCCTGCTGCTGCCCCAGAAACCCAGTGAGCTCATCTCCAAGCTTCATAATGAGTATAATTGACATTTCTGTTATTCTAACCCCTTGGATGTAAAAGGTTTTCAAGCTAATCTCTGCCTGACCTTATGTGAACACACATGGGATTATTGAAACAGCCATTTTTTGAGACGATTTGCTCACAGTACTACATAACCTGCCTTCCCTTGATTGCTCATCAAAATTGGCAAATGTTAAACATTGTTAATTTATTTTTGGCACCCCTACTTTCTAATTTTTATCATTTTATAAATGTTACAACTTTTAATTTAGGAACAAAACTGGAGTCAAACTCTGAATCTTATTTTAGGTTTATTTGTCCCATTAATGTAAGTCACAGTACAGCTACACTCCAGCTCCTCTTTACCTGGGGTTAGGCTGTATTGAACTAGCATAGAAAGTAAACATGTATAGGATTGTGCTGTAAAGCACAGCTTAATCTAGATTCGACCTATTATGTCAGAGATGTGGAGCTGTGACTCTCAGCGGATTTCAGTTGATCAGTGGTAAAAGATACCTAAACATTCTATGTTTAGTACTCCAATATTCTTTAAATATTGCTAATATATATATTGTTAACAAGGGCTGCTGCAGCAAAATTGTAACTTAACTATTAAGAAGCTTAAAATGTTGTAAAGTAGAGCAAATTTTTAGTAGGAATTAAGCAGATACGAAGAATATTTGCAGTAAGGATTTTGTTTGCAATGAAGCCTTGTTGGCCTAATCCAAACTACAGTGAATCAACTGCTGAATGGAAAGCCAACAGTTACACAAATTTCATGGTTTTAATGAGTTTAATTGGGACCAGCAGTTGACTAATCCCAATTAGAGCAGATTGATTGGACCAATGGAATTTATATCAGTGTTGGCTTCTCTGTTACTTCTACCTTGTGTGTATTTGGGAAGCAACCAAATTTCCATCACGTGTTTAAAAAGGAAAGACTTGGTGTTTGGAGTAGAGTCATGTGCATCCCTGCTGTTAGCTCACTGTAGAGAAACATAGGATATAAATGTAGCAGATAAGTATTGCTTGAGGTCTGTATTAAATCCCAATAATACTGTAAATGAGAATGAATGTTGACACTTTGGCTGGATTATATCCTTTTTCTTTGATGTCCGCTTGTGCCATGTGTTGGTGCCTGCCAGATTTGCCTCTCTTGCAATGTTTCTGCTTTTGGAAAGATAATGAAAACCTGTATGTCTGGTCATTTTATTCAGGGTAGGTCTGCCGCTTGCTTGTTGAGTGTGCCCTCAGAGTTGATTACAAATTTAAACATAAGATGAAAATTGAAAAATAAAATCAAAGCTGATGAAGATTGCCAAATGGAAGGGTTATGGTTATGGTATACATATATTTGTTTACACAATGAAGATCAGAGGAATATGCTGCCTAGGCATGTAGTGGAGTCTCCTTCTTTGGAGATTTTTAAGCCGAGGCTGGATGGCCATCTGGCAGGAGTGCTTTGATCATGTTTTCCTGCATGGCAGAATGGGGTTGGACTGGATGGTCCTTGAGGTCGCTTCCAACACTTTAATTCTGTGATTCTATCCCTCTGTAGGTAAAACTTGTCTCCTTGATAGTTAGATGTGTGAGATATCTTGGGAGATGGGGCACAAGTCTAAACACAAAATTTGTTTGTCTTGTATAAAACTTATATGCATAGTCTGAAAGTTGTTTATGTACAAAAATTTTCATAATTGTGTGCATGAAAGAAAGCTTGTGTACACTGAGCCATCATACAACAAAGGTGTCACTCTCACCAATTGAGTAGGACACTGTATGGACCTGAAAAAGTATTCAGACAATCAAGAAAAGAGAAAAATTATGTATTGGGAATGTTTGCTACTCAGAAAAAAAGCTGTTGGAATAAAGGGGTGTTTGAGTTGCTAGAACAGATGTGGATCAGCAGATGGAAACCTTTGAATTCAACATATTGGGTTGAGATTGTGGGAGGCCCAGGCATTAGATGGACTAGTTACGTTTATCTGTCTTCCTTCCATTACCTGTCTTCATTTTCTATGCCTGTTTTGTTTTGTGAGGAGTCTAAGTCTTCATAGGATGTAATGTTTTTGCCTATCTCCATCTCTTTTGATAGATGATGATTTAAATAGGACAATTGTTCTTTCCATCCAGAGGCTCCATTTTCCTGCTGCATTTCTGGTATCTTAATCTGATTATCTTTTCAGGTGAAGGAACCACTGGTGGCAATTATGGCTATGCCAATAGTGGTTACAGTGTGTATGAAGAAGAAAATGAAAAGTTAACAGAAAGTTTGCGCTCCAAAGTCACTGCCATAAAATCAGTAAGTATATTGTTATAAAGCAACATTAAAATGGATTGGAGTACATAATGCTTACTCGATCAGGACATTAGAAACATAGCCACGAGTTAATTGAATTCAGTCAAAATAGTGCCCTTCGGAAGGTATGGACTTCTCATTGATGGATCACATTCTTCCACTAATTAGATTTGAGCTGAAGCTGACCTGGTTGGCTGATCATGGTATTAACTGCAAGTTGGGAGAGCAGAAGATGTGCTTATTTGAGAAGCGTTTCCTCACAGCAGAGAGTGGTCTTCCCAAGGGAGTTAAAAGTCAGCAAGGTCATGCCAATAAACTGTTGGGCTAAACACTTCCTATGCCAATGAAATAATCATTTCTGAAATTCAATCAAAACATAAAGTTGCCATTTCCAAAACCTATCCAATCTTCTAAAGCCTGAGTAATAAAGCAGAACAATCACCCACCACACACACACCTGAGTAGCAGCTTTTGCAGTCTCCAAGATAGCCATTGGGGTATGGCTCAGACTTCAAAATATGGTTTAAAACACTCAAATAAATAAGAGAGAAAAACATTAGATAACTAAAACACATAAAAAAATACACATGAAGATAAAAATTGTAAAAAAAAATCCACACACATACAGCAACACTTAACATCTGTTTGGCTTTAGATTATCTTGTTAAAAAACAAATGTAATGAAGATGTTGCTAGAATTATTCATGTTTGGCAAAAGGAAAATCTGTAACTTTACACTATTTTACAGTATCTCTAGTTTTAAAGGTTCTTTCAAAAAACATTTTCATTATCTTTGATGTTTCCCACACAAGCTTAGTTTTATATGATGTCATCCATTTTATAGTATTACAATAAACCACCAATCCCCTATCTCTTTCCTCATAGCTTTCCATTGAAATTGGAACAGAAGTGAAACAGCAAAATAAAATACTTTCTGAAATGGTATGTATATTTAATTTATGAGATTTTCAAATGTGCTTAGCTCTTATCATGATTAATTACATCATTGTTTAAACTGAAGCTTAATCCAGACAAGACAGAGGTCCTTCTGGTCAGTCACAAGGTCGAGTGGGGAATAGGGTGGCAACCAATTCTTGATGGGGTTACACTCCCCCTGAGGACACAGGTCTGCAGTCTGGTGGTCCTCCTGGATTCAGCACTGATACTTGATGCTCAGGTATAGGCAGTGGTTGGGAGGGCCTTTGCAGAGTTAAAACTTATATGCCAGCTGCATCAGTACCTCAAGAAGACTGACTTGGCCACAGTAGTCCACGCCTTAGTTACCTCTAGACTGGATTACTGCAATGCACTCTACAGGGGGCTGCCTTTGAAGGTTACCCGGAAACTGCAGTTGGTGTAAAGGTCAGCAGTAAGATTGCTAACTGGAGCTAATTATAGGGAACGGATGATGCCCCTACTAAAACAGCTCCACTGACTGCTGATAAGTTTGCAGTCCAAATTTAAAGTGTAATTCATCACCTACAAAGCCCTGAATGGTTTGGGTCTTTCCTATATGTTTCAGTGTGCATTTGAATGACAATTAGTCCCATGAATGCCCAGCCCTAATTTACAGATAAAGTTGTATTCAGCACTGTACCCCCAACCCTATGGTTTGCTTTTTGCACAAGCCCATGCCCTGCCATTTCTAATCTGACCATGCCCTCCATATTCCTGGTTACTAAGGTTGGTTTGATACACTTTTGTGATGTTTTTTATATTTTGCAGTTCTTAATTGTTTTGGTTAGATAGTTTATATTATATGTTATTATGATTTTAACTGTGTTTTAGCTGGTAAATTTTATTGTATGCTAGGCTTGGTCCCATGTAAGCCACCCTGAGTCCCTTTGAGGAGATGATGGCGAGATAGTGAATGTGTTCTTGTCTCCTTTCAGATTATAAAATATCAAAATTCATAATTTTGCCCCCAAAATCTGACCACAACTTATACATGAGATCGACTTATAAAGTATATATGTATCTGCTACCTTGAACTTCAAAGAATTCAAGATAACTCATGTCATTCCTGTTTCATAGCTGAAAGATTATGGCTTTCATCAGTCCTGGTTTGAGTTTTCTAACTCAACACTTGCTCTCTTGCAAAAAAAAAAAAGTACCATCCTGTGACATTTTTAATTTTGAATGTTTAACTCAAGTAGAGTTACTTTCTGAGATATGTTTGTCTCCTTCTCGTCTTATAGGACAATGACTTTGATTCAACATCTGGGTTTCTTGGTGCAACTGTGGGAAGACTGAAAACTCTCTCCAGAGGAAGTCAGACAAAACTCTTATGCTACATGATGCTCTTCTCCCTGTTTGTCTTTTTTGTCATTTACTGGATTATTAAACTGAGGTGATGCAGACATTTCGCGTGAGAATATTAGTGCCATTCTGGACTCCTTGAAGGTTTTTTTTTTTTTTTTTTTAAGAAACTACAATAAGGATGAATGCATCTGCCACTGTTTTGTGCATTTCTTGTTTTTTTATGAGGCCAGAAACATTATTCAGAACCCTTATTTTTTAGGGTTCTTAAATTGAAATTGTCCCAAATGCCAGCACTTTATGGAAACAAAACATACTTGGTGTTCAAGTACTATTATTATTAATATTGTTAGGTTTTTCCTATTCTAAAACAATATGTCTAGTTTGTAATTACTATTGCTTTTTCTACTAATAAGTAGCATTATATTTTGATCATGCTTTTTTTAAAGTTGTGAACCTATCAAAGCAAAATACTTTAAGACTCATTAAAACTGAAAAATTAAGTATGTGCCTAATTTGACCTTGATCGTGTCCGTGATGGCATGCAGTTAAAATGATCTGAATTGTTCAAAAGTTACCAACATTTCTAATTTCTTCATGTGATGACTAGATTTTATTTCATATGGCAGGTGAGATGGAGTTAAGGAGACTATACAGGTAGCCCAACTCACCTGCAGTGGTCATGGAAGTGTACTTCACCCTCTTTTGGATCTACATGATTGTTTGCCCAAGTCATTGTACTTGGTTCTCTTTATGAGATTAGAATCAAGTGCCTAATGTTCATGTAGCAAGGCTCGTCTTGTCCACTAGACAGCACCATTCTAGAGCATGTTCTGTGCATCTTTTTAGTTCAAGCAAAATAGTACTTATGACCTTAATTGGTTTTATAGTGTGTACATATTCAATTGAATTAAGACTGTTGTGATTATATAAGGAGTTACTGGTTGGTATAATACTCAGCTATTTTTGACCAAAGTGGAGTATTAGAGATTTGGTATTGAAAGAGATTTGGTATCATGATGTTTCCTAGTTAGGAGACCATGCTGTTGTGGTCTCCTTAGAAGCAAATCAAATTGCAAATAGTTGCACAAACAATGCCGTTGTTCGATTCTTTCAGGATAAAATACGCATTTAAACTGGAATGAGTAGATGAGCATTTACTTCAAGTTGTTAAAATCCCGCAAAAGTACGTTCTAATTCAGCAACATGTGCAAGAGGAGGAGGGAAGATATTTGGAGATGCTGATGTTGCTATGGTCATTTTTTCCTGAGAAGAAGTCATTGCTCGCTAATGTGAACACTTAGCTTCCTGTATGGTGAGGCCACAGCAGTGGTTTTCAGCTGGTTTTACCATCAAGCAGTTTTGGGGTACTTTCAGTAAAGCAGAGTAGGAGTGTTGACTTCAGCATGTTGCACTGCACTTGTATAGATTTTTTTTTTAGAGAAAGATGTAAATGCAAACACTACATTAATCTCTAGTGTAGAAGAACTGTTCCTTGTGGAGCAAGATCTTTTAGTGCTTTGAGAGAATGATCAACCTCAGAAGGTCCATAGCAGGTGCTGAGAAGAGCATCAAGGCCAGCCATTTCCTGAATGATTATACTGCTCATTGACAGATTTCAGTGTAGAAGTAAATCCATTCTTTTCATACCCATATGGACCTACAAATATGTTTTTATTCATTTTATATATTTATGCATAGGGGTTTAGGATGCCTTCCAGAGTGGATATTCAATGTTTTATTAAATTTGGCATTTGATCATTTGTAGCTTATTAAAATAAAAACAAAGCCTGTATGAAAACTTTTAATATTTTTCTCCTGCAAAAGTAGACTCCTAATGTTTTGAGTTTCCATTTTAAGAGATAAAAGTTCACATTGTACATGTTTTTTTAATTGTGTCAGAAGTGACTTGTGAAACTGCAAATTGCTTCTTGTTTGAGAGAATTGGCTGTCTGCAAAGATGTTGCCCAGGGAATGTCCAGATATCTTACTATCCTGTGGGAGGCTTCTCTCATGTCCCCGCATAGAAAGCTGGAGCTGACAGACAGGCGCTCACCCGATCTTGTGAATTTGAACTGCCAACCTTCAGGTCAACAGATCAGCCAACACAAGGGTTTAACCCATTGCTCCACCGCACACTATGCCACATGTAATATGTGTAGTATATTTATTAGTATGATACTTGAAGGCCTGCTGCATCTGTATTATAATAGTGATAAGATCATTTATTGCAAATTTTCTTTCCTGTGCTCTTCTGGCTATACAAATGCAATGTATGACTGTTCTTTAAGTACATACAGTAAGATCTTTGTGACCATGAAACCCATATTTTCTCCCAGGAAGGAAATGACCTCTATAGAAATTTGCTATTGATTCTTTGACGCAGGAGTAACTGGAGAAACAGGCCAAGCTCCAGGCAAGTAGCTTGAAAACTCATGTCCCTGTCTCCTGGTCTTGCAAAGAGGATATGATGGCTAAACTATCATTCTAAAAGGAGGGGAAACAACTACATATACAACTGTTGACTAGGTGGCTACCACTTTTGCCAGCCTAATTGAATGAAATGTTGATTATGCAGGAACAGAAATGGGATAGCTTAAAACCAGTTGTAATAAAAAACAAGGAAGCTTGAGGGTTAAGAGTGCCGACCAGGTACACATTTGATCTTATGAGCAAACACACATTCTTAGCGAGCTCTTTCAGTTGTCTCCCAGGAAAGAAAATTATTGATTCCCATTGTTGTTCTGTTCCTAAGGTACAGTCTTGTTCGATAGAGAATAAAGAATACAAAATGGTTCTTCAGTTTATATATAGTTTTAATTTTCCTTATTTCAAAGCCAGGGTTTAAAACTTACTGCAAGTAAATTCCCATTTCTTGTTACGTATAACAATAAATTGAAGTCAATTAACCAGTGAGACAAAATTTTAGAAGGAAGATGGTTGGTTCGATGCCATGTAATGAGTTATCCACCTTAATGGCTTCTCTTCTAATAACAGATGGATTAGACCCAAACAGTTACTTTGGATTAGCCTAGATTTGTGCCACAACATTAAGGTGTACAAACAAGGGATGCTTTCACATTATAGTAATTAAAAGTACACCCATCAAAACTTTCTGAGGTAAAGTAAGTAAATCTATGCAGAAATTTTTGATGTATAGTCTGAATGGCTCAGAGTGATCTTTCACTGTAATGTGCGTGTCTTACTGCTTCTGCATGAAGTTGTCATGAAGTTGGCTTTGTTAGTCTTGTAATAATCCATTAATCAAGGAAACAGACCAGAATGCTGCTTGGCAATAGGTCATGCTGCAGAATATTTCTGGTAAAATGTGTGTGCTTGTAATTCATGACCTATCGTTCATAGGTGACGTAGAATCAAATGTCAACAACTTGGCCATTAAGAAAATCAAGACAACTGATTCTTAAAATAACATCACCGCATATTCTTTCCTGACATAAAAATCTTTCCACCTGCAGTTTTATCAAAAAGAAAGCAAACACATGTAAGGATTTATGGCTGTTGCTGTTTTGGTAAGATGTTCATGTGCTTGCATATAATGGAGAGCATGACTTCATCGGCACCAGCTCCTATAGACAACAATCTTAGGTCTCTGCAAAAAGACAAAGGAGATGAATGAATGGACAAAATAAATTTTCCCTTCCATTGTGTACTAAAACACACAAAGTTTAAATGTGTTCAAATCTAAGGCTAAATCCCATAGAAATCAATTGTTCTTCAATCTGGTGTATATGATTTCACTTTACAGGAATAATCTGGTGCTCCCTCTGAGGGATCATCAGATCTGGCTGGGTTTCGCTGTCTATCCATGAAAAGGGAGGTCCACAAGTAGAGTATAATCTACTGTTGGAAGCCTCCTCGATATAGTTGTAAGGTCTATTACTATATTCAGAAATAATGCATATGTTGGGGAGGATTAGATTTGCAATGTCTTGAAACACTTCCAGTCTGTAGGCAGAGTTTTTATACTGAAAATTCCTCACTCATTAGGTTGGGGAAGAGTATATATAAGGGCTGCTAAGCATGCACGGCTCTAAACAATATCTAATTCCCCAAACTGTAGCCCACTGGGACAATGGTGCAGGAGATGATCAACAATATCTGGAGGACCATAGGTTACGCATACTTTATTTTTAAAAAAATCAGAGCTTCTATCCTCCTCCTGTCCTGACTACAGTGACCAGGCAGGGCTTTGGCATTAGTGGAGCAATTGTCAATAAATTCCACATACATTTATATACCTGGCTAGAAATGCTTTGAACTTCCATGAGAACCTGTCATACTGTTTCGCTACCAAAAATAGTTGAGATGTCATTGTTTACACTGGGGGGCGGGGATCTTGTGGCTCTTCAGGTGTCTCTGGACTAAAATACTCATCATCCTTCACCACTGTACACTATGCTACACAACACAATAGCAAAGAGGGTCATGTGTTTTTTTAATTGTGTCAGAAGTGATTTGAGAAACTGCAAGATGCTTCTGGTGTGAGAGAATTGGCCGTCTGCAGAGACGGTGTCCAGGGGATGCCTGTGGGAGGCTTTTCTTATATCCCCGCATAGGAAGCTGGAGCTGACAGTCGGGAGCTTATCTTGTCTTGGAGATTAGAACCGCCGACCTTCAGGTCAGCAGTTCAGTTGGCACAAGGGTTTAACCCATTGTGCCACTGTGACTCCTGTCACATGTTTACAATGCCCAGCCTTTTTCTGGAAAAAAATGCAACCATATTGCAATCTATACTAAAATGAAACCCTTTTTATGTTTTTACTTTATTTTAAAAGTTTTAGTTACATTAAAAGTAAAAAAAATGAATCAAGAACATGCCAAAAAGAAAGAAGAAAAAGAAAAAGTAGATGACCCCCGATCTATCCTTGTCTAGCCAAAAAAACAACAACATAAGCTTCACCCTCTAGGTCTCCAAATGTTCTATGTTGATTCCTTTCCTGAACACCCCCCCCCCCCCCCCCCCCCCCCCCCCCCCCCCCCCATGCCTCAATTATTTTTCAGAACTCAAAATTGGCAAGTCCTTTTCTTTGTGCAAAAAGTGAACACAAGGGGAAACTTTCTCTGAAGGTTTTTAAAGACTGGATGGTCATTTGTTGGGAATAGTTTGTATCTTTCTCTATGGAAGGGGCTTGAATTAAATGGTACATTTGGTCTCTCAATTTTATGATTATAATTCTTAACCATGAGCTCCTTAAGGGTGGGGTGGAGTGAAGTGCACAAGATATACACAGAAGGGTTGTGTATGTGGCATGCAGGGGTTGAAAGTCTTTCCTCTTTACACTATCTACAAAACTGCACTGAATTCCCACTTGTCCAAATATTACTGCATTGGTAGAATTTTGTAATAGCTTCCCACAGAGAATTGCTCACGCACCCATTTCTCTTTGCATTTCACCCACTCACTAAGATCAGTTTTGTCAGATTCAATTTATCATTTTCAAGCTAGGAGTAAAATTCTTTCAGCACTGTTTTACCATGACACAGGAATTAATCTCTGGCTGCTTTCAAACCAGAGCTCCAGATCTGTTCTTTTTTTATCTGCTACCCGATCATATCAATGAACTAATAAGATGTATCAATTGATGAACCAAAGGATCTTGAGGTCTTGAAGACTTGTTTTCAATTCTGCATTTTGGCTTAGCCATAATAAATGTACTATTAGAGTACCTTTACTCCATATAGATGACTGAGTATGGTTTTGGAATTTTTCTTATATATGCCTTACTTTTTCTACCTTCATTACTCAGTGTTGTCTCTTCCTGGCCCATCCTGTAGCTTTGTTTCTCATCTAGTCTGTGAAGTGCTCTGGAGAACTCCTATTTTGTAATCTTTAAGGTGGACCAATAAAAGCATCACCCTAACAAGGATTTTGGGAATCAGGATTACACAAATCAATGCTATTGAGTAAGAAAGCAACACAAATCCTCTTCTAGCTCCAGACCTTCCAAATTGCCTCAAAAATATTCATTTGAGCAAGTTTTCCCCCAAGATAAGTAATCGAGATACAACTCCCTTCTATACCTTACAAATAATTATCCTGGGTGAAGCTTCTGGGAATCCAATGAAAACATTTTTGAATGCCAAATGTTTCCCCATCCCTGATTTTTGCTCTCTTGTTGAATTCAAAGAGAACCATTTTAGTCTGGATCAGGATGCAAGTTGGCTACGAGAACACCTAACTCTCTTGCTGAATCCTATTTCAATTCTTAAAGCTGATAAGTTTGGGGATTTTTTTTTGTTGCTGCTCTTGTTGTGGTGGTGTTTTTTTTGTTTTTTGTTTTGCAAAATTGGCAGTAGAAAATTGGTTTTTACTAGGTTTTATCTAAATGGTATTGTGGCTCAAAGATGGTCTTAAGAGCAAAAAAATACTTACAAATTATTTTCCCATATTAACATTTTACATATGGAAGACAGCTAAAGTTGCTGAATCAGCAGCCCCTATGTACTGTCAACACCTGAAGAAAAAATTATTTTACACCAGGGTTTCTCAAACTGTGCTCCTTCCAGGTGTTTTGGACTTCAGCTCCCACAATTCCTAACCACTAGTAAACTGGCTGGGATTTCTGGGAGCAGAAGTCCAAAACACCTGGAGGAGCACGATTTGAGAAACACTGCTTTACATTATTCTCCTCAGTTCCATCAACCAATTCACAATGAGAATAACAAGTCTGAATGGGAGATTTCCACCTATGCTTGAAAGCTCCCTGTGTGATCAAGAACCAAAAACAAGCAGCTCCTTCACTAAAAATAAATACATAAAAATCAGGGTCTCCATGTTTTTTTGTTCACATGAGATCCATAATCTGAGACAGAAGAGTTCAGAATAATAAACACACTTCTTCATATGTTAACTGAACACGTTTAGTTAGCTTATGACTGCAGAGAGTTCTCTCCTTCCTTCTCTTTCTGCTCTTTTCCTGTCACAGTTACTTTTTTGAAAAATACTGTAATTTTAAAAAACCAAATCCTGTGTTTTCACTTAAGGAAAGAAGTGGTGTCAAAACGATTATTGGTCTACATTTGTGCTACGTTTTATATTTGGGCTTGTTAGTGGTAAGAACTTGGATATGAGTCAGTTCCTACTAGCCAAGGAGTTGCACAATGAAGCTTGACATTCCAAGACCTCAGAATGGTGGAAAGCAGCCAAAGTTTCCTCTCTGACGCTGAAGGAAGCAGAGGCTTTGCAACCCAGCATCACTCTCTTTCAGCTTGCATACCTGCTATCTTTCCTCAGTTAATTCTTTTTGCTCTTCTGTGAAAAGTAGACCAGTGAATTCATTTCATGACAGCTTATAAATGCAGTCAGCCCTCCACATTTGCAGGTGTGACTTCTGCGGATTTAATTATTCACAGATTTGATCAACATGGGTAATTGAAAGTTGACCGTAGATATACACTGGGGGGACACAGATTCCTAAAGAAGTATTTAGGTATTTCCCACTTGTGCAGTGGTCCTGTACCCCTAAATTCAGCAAATGTGGAGGGTCTACTGCAGGGATCCCCAAACTAAGGCCCGGGGGGCGGATACGGCCCTCCAAGGTAATTTACCCGGCCCTCGCTCAGGGTCAACCTAAATCTGAAACGACTTGAAAGCACACAACAACAACAACAATCCTATCTCATCAGCCAAAAGCAGGCCCACACTTCCCATTGAAATACTAATAAGTTTATATTTGTTAAAATTGTTCCTCATTTTCATTATTGTATTGTTTTTAAGTGTTTTTTGAAGTACAAAGAAGTTATGTACAGTATGCATAGGAATTCATAAATGCTTTTTTTTCAAATTATAATCCGGCCCTCCAATAGTTTGAGGGACTATGACCTGGCCCTCTGTTTAAAAAGTTTGAGGACCCCTGGTCTACTGTATTCTCTTATACTAGAAAACTTCATTAAAGCACCACCAACATTAAGGAGGTATTTCAAAATGGAGCACACTGTCTTCTTAATCTTTGTATTTTTCCTTAACACAGGTACATCCTGAACATTGACATGTAATGATGTTACCAATTAGCTGAAACCTCAAAGTATATTTGAGCACACAAAGAATTCCTACCTCTGAGGAAGCTTGCCATAGATGCAGGCGAAACGTCAGGAGAAATGCCTCTAGAACATGGCTCCAAAGCCTGAAAAAACCCACAAGAACCTAATTCCTGCACTATTCTAAAGCTTGGAAAAGTAAATCTTCTGGATTACAATTTCTAGAATCCTCTAGCTCAGTGATTCTCAACCTGTGGGTCCCCAGGTGTTTTGGCCTACAACTCCCAGAAATCCTAGCCAGTTTACCAGCTGTTAGGATTTTTAGGAGGTGAAGGTCAAAATATCTGGGCCCACAGGTTGAGAACCACTGTTCTAGTTGGTATGGCCACCGACCATGCTTCCTAGAAGATTCTGAGAGTAGTAATACAGAAATAACTGATCAAAACTTTTACAAATATCTTGGATTTCAGGAACTGAGAAATTCCCTTCTGATGTCTCTTAGTGTCAATTTTTCCTATGACAGGGGAGAAGGGGACAGAATTTGTGGGTTATTTTAATACATCACCCAACTTTCCATCAAAATGTAAGTACTGGCATGATACCAGTGAGGTTTGCTTCCCTGGGATTTTGTGGTGATTGCCACCAATTCAGATGGCTTTAATTAGGTAAATATATAGAGGAAGAGACCAATGTATGGGGGATGAGGTTATAAATTTGGCTACTCAATATGATGGCTATATGGAAATTCTGCATAACTAATATTATGAAGTTAATTAAGCAACAAACAAATGTAATAATCAAATGAGATGTGAACATTCAGTTTGAAGAATCTGCTGGGCTGAATGTACTGTTTGTAAATTCAAAAACTGGTGATGTTTGTTTAAAAATGTTTAATGTGAAATTGTGAAAAGGAAAAGACCCACTCCACACAAATCTAATTGCAGTGAATTGTTATCTTCAAATATTGGATTTAATGGGATGAAATATTTCTTTTTCAAGAATAAAAACTCATGTTTTGTTGTTTTTCAAAGCGACACCCAAATGAGAGTCTACAGTACAGTTGTCCTTTTGTAATGATTTTCTTCCATGGCATTTAAAACATATTTGTGTAGCAAAAGTGATTTTTGAGGGTTGCTCCAAGAATAAAGCAACATTAATTTTGGAGGCCTGACTAAAGGGTGGGGACGATTACAGTCCCCAAATGCATTCACCAGATGCTCAGGAATCACAAAGGTTAACCTATGCGTCACATACTAACTCAGGATTATGCAGCAATTTCATCTTCACAGTATGACGTTAAGGGATATGTGCTGGACCACTCTGAGAAAGGGAATTTCCTACCACAAGAATGACATCTGAACAAAAATAGCAGGAATTACTGAGTAGTGCTTCATGTTCCCAAAAAGGAAAACAGAATTTGCATGTGTAAAATGTTATTTTTCTACTCTTCTCCATGAAAGCAAAGGCCCAAAGGAAAGAGATAGAATTAAGTCAGCCCCATATTTTCATTTCAGAATATAAGTAATGTTGTTGGTGTTCATTCGTTCAGTCGTCTCCGACTCTTCATGACCTCATGGACCAGCCCACGCCAGAGCTCCCTGTCGGCCGTCACCACCCCCAGCTCATTCAAGGTCAGTCCAGTCACTTCAAGGATGCCATCCATCCATCTTGCCCTTGGTCGGCCCCTCTTCCTTTTACCTTCTACTTTCCCCAGCATAATTGTCTTCTCTAGGCTTTGCTGTCTCCTCATGATGTGGCCAAAGTACTTCAACTTTGTCTCTAGTATCCTCCCTCCAGTGAGCAGTCGGGCTTTATTTCCTGGAGGATGGACTGGTTGGATCTTCTCGCAGTCCAAGGCACTCTCAGAACTTTCCTCCAACACCACAGTTCAAAGGCATCTATCATCCTTCGCTCAGCCTTCCCTAAGGTCCAGCTCTCACATCCGTAGGTTACTACAGGGAATACCATGGCTTTGACTATGCGGATCTTTGTTGCCAGTGTGATGTCTCTACTCTTTACTATTTTATCGAGATTGGACATTGCTCTCCTCCCAAGAAGTAAGCATCTCTTGATTTCAAGCATCTGCAGTAATCTTTGCACCTAGAAATACAAAGTCTGTCATGTCCTCCACAATTTCTCCCTCTATTTTCCAGTTGTCAATCATTCTTGTTGCCATAATCTTGGTTTTTTTTTATGTTTAGCTGCAACCCAGCTTTTGCGCTTTCTTCTTTCACCTTGCTTAGAAGGCTCCTCAGCTCCTCCTCGCTTTCGGCCATCAGAGTGGTGTCATCTGCATATCTGAGGTTGTTAATGTTTCTTCCAGCAATTTTCACCCCAGCTTCCAATCCCATCTTCCAATGGCATACCGACATATCTCTGGTTGTACTGGTGCATTTCGTTTTCTTGGCAAGGATACTGGGGTGGTTTGCCATTGCCTTCCCCAGGGATCACGCTTGGTCTGACCTCTCTGCCACGACCATCCCGTCTTGGGTGGCCCTTCACGGTTTTGCTCATGACATCATTGAGGTGCTCAAGCTCCAGCACCACGACAAGGCGGTGATCCTTTGCTGGAGAATATAAGTAATATGTTCCTTTAAATGCTGTTGGATTTTCCCTCCTCTTTCCTGCTCTTCCCACTCTCCTCACCTCCCTTGTTGCAAAAAGCCCCTATCCCTCTGCTCCCTTGCCATCAAAGCCTGTTTTCCTCACCTACCTCAACCTGAGAAGTCTTTTTTCCTCATTTCCCTCACTGCCCAGATCCTTCCCCTCCCCCACCTTGCTTGCTTCCAAAACCCTATTTCCCTCCCACTACCCAAGGGGTGCTTTGATTGTGGTTTTCCTGAATGGCAGAAGGGGGTTGAACCGGACTGGATGGCCCCTAAGGTCTTCCACCTAATTTTATGTTGGTCAAAAAGTTTGCTTATGCCTGATACACACACACACACACACACACACACATACACACACATACATACATGCATTAAATATAATATATACAGTATAATGCATAAACATTTGCACTGGCCTAGCTCATGCCTGATATATATATTCATTATATATAATAAAATATGTAATATCTAAAGATTTTTTTGGGGCTCCACGAGAAACCTTTGCTTTAAAAAGGGCTCCGTTGGTGAAAAACTTTGAGAACCCCTGGTTTATGCTATCATACTCCCCATTTCTAGGAATGGTTGTGAAAACTAGACAGTAAAGAAACCTAATAGGATGAAAAAGAAAACAATTTTAAATGTGATGCTAGTAAAGATTCCTATGGATATTATGGACTGCTAAAAAGAGTAATAAATGATTCCTAGAGCAAAGAAAGCCTGAACTGTATCTAAAAGCTAAAACAACAAAATTGAAACTGTTGTACTTTGTCCATATCATGAGAAATCTTGACTCGCTAGGAAAGAAAATAAGGCTGGATAAGTTAAAAGTCAATAGGAAAAGAGGAAGGCCATATAGCAGATGCATAGACTCAATCAAGCAAGACATGTTTATGAATCTGACCAGAGCTTTGAGGCTAGACTCTAGATCAGGGGTTCTCAAACTGTATTCAGTGGAGCACTTGATAGGGAGGGGCTCAGCAGCCCCATGCTGCTTCCTGTTTTCTCTTATTTCCTTCTTAAGAAATTATCACCTGCCTTCCTCACCGCCCAGACTCTTCTCCTTGCCGCCAAGACATACTTTCTTTGCTTCCAAAACTCTATTTGCCTCCCACCACACAGGAGGTGCTGTGATAGTGGTTCTCCTGCATGGCAGAAGGGGGTTGGACTGGGCAGCCCCTGAAATCTTTCACTGAAATATTGTTAAGTTTATGAAGGTTTAAAATGTTCTTCTTTTAAAATATTGTACTGTTCTTTCTTTTCTTTCTTTCTTTTGCACTTTGTGAATTAGTGCATGCCAACACTCTCCATCCATCTGCCACTGGCCCAGCCCATGCCTGGTGTATATATAGTATATATAATATAATATATAGACATTTATTGGGACTCCACGAAAAACTTGTGCTTCAAAAATGGCTCTGCATCTAAAAATGTTTGAGAGCTCCTGATCTAGACTGTCTTGTGTGGCCTCTTCACTTAGATTGTCCCTTTTGGATTTTAGCAATGAAGTCTTAAAAGCAGATTGGGATGCAATGGTTTTCAAATTTGGTCCTCCAGATGTTTTGGACTTCAACACTTTTGACCAACAAGTTTGACCAACAATCAGAATTGTGAGAACCAAAGTCTAAAGCATCCAGGAGACCAAAGTTTGGAGACCACTGGAGCAGGGAAAGCTGGAAAGACACTCTTCCATGCACCCAACCATGAAGTCTTGGTTAACCATTTGAAGATTTGGAACTTTCCATGTAAAAATGCTGAATATTAAAGCAGAGTTCATGAGTATATTTGATCACAAGGCATTCACTCACCTGTAAAGTCTGCTTACAAGAACCTCATTGGTGAACCCCATTCCTCCCCAGAACTGGAGACAGCTGTCTGGAACTTCCCGGGCCAGATATCCTGCCTTCAATTTAGCCATGGATGCAAACTTGGTCACATCATTGCCATTTATATAAGAGGCTAGAACAAAAGCACAAGTCAGGCTTTAAGTTGCCCATCCACGTCTAGTAAAGCATGCATTTTCATATCAAACAAATATTTGAAACCAAACTTCATGACACTCACCAACCGCCCGATAGAGCAAGGAACGAAGGAGTTCCACCTCGGTTGCTAATTCAGCAAGACGGAAATGCACTACTTGCTTTTCAAGTATTGGCTGATGGAAAATTTTACGCTGGCGTGTGTAATCTATGGTTTCTTGTATTATATTTTCAAGCGGTACCAAAACTAAAAAAAAGGAACAAAAGGAGAAAATTGGTTTATTTGATGTCTTTTCTCAAAAGGTGGAGAATAGTAAATGACAGAAAGTGCATACATTCAACGAGCCCTGAAAGGGTGCGGAAGTGTATGTGGAAACACATTAAAAGGGTAGTGTATATGCTTTAACATGTACCCATAACCTGCCCATAAACATGGCATAAAAGGACCAGGTGCATGTCACAGAACTAGGATTAAATGAGGACTTCCTGAACTCAGTGTGATTCTGTCACATCTGTACGGTCATGCTACAGGTTTGTGAACAGCAAATTAATCTATAAACCGATTTAAGTGGAAACCGTTGTATGTGACAATAGAAAAGAAGCTGTTTCAGCTCAAGGGTGAATTAAATTTTAGGGGGGAAGATTTCAGGGTGGGCAAGGACAAACACAAAGGAGTGGGACTAAAAACACCAGCATACTTTAGCTAAAACATTTGCTGGATGTCCTTGTGGTCCCTTCCAACTCTATGTTTCTATGATACCCTGTTGTGAACTGCCATCAAGTCTACTTCAACTTATGGCAATGAGAGCCTCCAAATTATCAACGATCCTGCTCAGTTCTACCTGCCCTATCCAACATGATCAATGGTATGGTATAACACAATTTATCTGTTACACCATCTGAAGATCATCAGGTTGAGGGAAGCTGTTATAAAATGTCTCGAGGAAAATTATAGCTGGGAAAAGAAAATTATATGGCATTTCCTATTACTATTTAAAATGTATTATTCCCACTGAAAAGGGTCCTTTGCTGAGCCATAATTTATGTGCCACAAACAAGCTCTCAAAAGAATCGATATTTCAGAAAATGTACTCTTAGTGTCTCCGATGAAGTTTCTGATATCTCGTGTCACTATTTCCCATTTCCCGGCTATTTCTGCACAGATAAAAAAAAATTCTCTCACCTTCATTTGAAAATATCCCAGCTTTTGTATTTCATTTGCTTTCCTGCTATTTTATCATTTAAACTTTGCATTCTCAAGGAACCTTTTGCTAGATTTCCAACAAGCAAACTGCTACTGAGGTAAACAGAACAGTTCCTCCATTTTTCAATCTTGCTACCTCTTCAGTCAGCAGAAAAGAAGATGAGGCGGGAACTTCCTTTTCTGGCAAAGCTTTTATTCCACTGCCAAGACAAAGCTGGAGAGCTAATTACTGCACAAATGAAAACTAAAATAAACTTGCAAAATTGGCAATTCAAAATGGATTTATTTATTTTTAAGAATGGAAGGGAGACAAGAAAAACTCTGAATAATCACTGTGAAACAGATGGCAACAATAGATTTGCAGCCTCATTACCCCACAAGGATTTTTTTTGCCAGAGAAGGCTTTTAAAATTACAACTGCCATGATTCGTAGCACTTAGGCATGGCAGTTAAAGTGGTGTCAAACTGCATTAATTTTTGTGTGTGTCAGGAGCTACTTGAGTCGCTTCTGATGTGAGAGAATTGGCCATCTTCAAGGATGTTGCCCAGGGGACACCCGTATATTTGATGTTTACCATCCTTGTGGGAGGCTTCTCTCATGTCCCCACATGGGGAGCTGGAGCTGACAGAGGTAGTTCAACCCGTTCTTCCCAGATTCGAACCTGCTGACCTATCAATCAGCAGTCCTGCCAACACAAGAGTATAACCTGTTGTGCCAGTGGCATGTTGTGCTCGTTAATTCTAGTGTAGATCACTGGTTTTCAACTTGTGTTTTGGCCTACAACTCCCAGAAATCCCAGCCAGTTTACCAGCTGTTTGAATTTCTGGAAGTTGAAGATCAAAACATCTGGGGACCCTCAGGTTGGGAACCACTGGTGTAGATCCAACCTATGTCAGCTTATTTATGCCATCTGGAGGATGGCAGGATGCCAATTTATTGAGTAACTACACAAAAAGCTTATTTTGTTTGTTTTCAGTTTTAGTCAACAAGCTCTCAGCAAATACAGGGTGCAGCAGCATAACTTTCTTTTTTAAAATGCGCGCCATTCAGTCGGTTGAAGAAGTAGCGGAGCACTAGTGGTCTAGTTCGAGAAGCGGGAGTATAAACTTTTTTCCTGACACAGTTCAGTCGCCATCATACGTTGGAACAGTGAGAAGCGTGCCTTTGGCCGTTGAGGCCTACTTTTCAAGTGGATTTGGAGTGGCCGGCCCGCTCTCCAGATTTGGCCCCTTGTGATTTTTTTCTATGGGGTTTTTTTTTTTTGAAATCCCGTGTTTATGTCCAAGGACCTTACAAGATTTGAAGACCAATATCCAGGAAGAAATTGCCAACATAACACCTGTTATGCTGGCAAGAGTCATGACAAACGCCAGAAATCGGTTTACTCAGTGTATGGAGAATGGGGGACGTCACCTACCTAATTTGATCTTCAAATCTACGTAAAACAAAACTTTAGGTATGCGCCTACATTATAAAAAAAATTAAACATTTCTGATTTATACAATAGGTTTTAAGTTTTGAAAAAAGGAAGTTATGCTGCCTCACCCTGTAGCTTTACAACTACATTTTTTTCAGTTCCACTGGCTATTTCAACTCCATTTACATGAGGGGTAATGAAGACTTTCAGATCTTCTTACTAAAAACACTCATCAGTGTTACAAAGCATGAGCAATAGTTTGTGACAAGGCCAAAGGTTCCCCATTCCTGCTTCATGTACTTTCATCGTACATGGGGTCAAAGACAGACCAGAGATGTTTCTAGACAAGGGCTTTAATGTGCAATTTTCCTGTGCCTTTAGACTAAGCATCTAGACTAAGCATGGGCAATCTTTGGCCATCCGGGTGTTTTGGACTTTAACTCGCATAATTAGGAGTTAAAGGCATGGGCCGAAGTTTGCCCATGATTGATCTACACTGTAGAATCAATCACTGTGCTTTCAATGCTATGGAATCATGGGATTTGCAATATGCTGAGGCACCAATACTTTTCGGCAGAGAAAACTAAAGATGTTGCAAAAACACAATTGTCTTCTATTAATATTTTACCACCACTCCTTCCTTCTTATTCCATCCTCCCCTCCATCAGAGGAGGAAGGGGGGGGGGGGAGGAGAAGGAGAAGGAGGCACAACAGAAGCACACTGGCTTGATTAAAAGAGCTAAGAAGTGTATGTATGAAAGAGATTGCATTATATTTTTGACACTGCAAGGCCTCAGAATAATGGTCTTGCACTGTCAAATATTTGGTACATAAATCTCCTAGGGATGGCTATGGGTCACGCTGCTGAAGACATGGAAATGGGAAGATCCAAGAGGGTGGGGGGAACCAGAGCTTTGCTGATGCATACAGAAACGGTCTGTTTTTGGCAAGAACTTGATTTTTAAAATGCCCAAAGAAACCATTTTTCTCCTGCCACCAAAATAAACTTTGCAAGCTGTTATGTAAGAAATACTCTCCTTAGCTGCCAAAAGGTATGGCTCCTGACTTACCATTGGCTACGCCCCACATGCGCTCCTCTTGGAACTGTAACATTTGGTACATAAAACCCATTCCTTCCTCCCCAATGAGGTATTTGCTGGGAATTCGGACATCTTCAAAAAAGATTTGCGCTGTGTCAGATGACCTCATGCCCATCTTGTCAATTTTCTTAGCAACGTGAACACCTGAAAATGAATTTTCCATTAAATAAATTACAGGAAATTATCATTGCCGGCAGCAACTGTGATATTTTCTTAAGAGAAACACTTAGCAGCAACAAGGTTCTGTCATTTTTCGTATAACTGAGGTTTTCAGATCATTAGCATAATAAAATGCAAGATTTAAGAAAGTATGTAAGTGTTTTAAAATCTCTAAGATAAGGTAAGTACGCGCACATCTACTTAATTTGTTAAAGAAATGGCACTGTCATGATTAATTAGCAAATTAGGATTCTCAAGAACTTGAAAGGTTTTGCTTTTCCTAATCTGGAAAAAAATTAACTTTTTGCTGGTTTCAGTAAGATGACTATTCAATTTACAAATGTCAGAGCATCAGATTTGCATATTAATGCATAACACAGAAACTGCTTTTACAGAATATGTAAGTAGCAAAGGAGAATTTTAGAAATATGATTGGTGGATAACTTATTCACTCCTTCAATTATCTAAATGTCCATCTGTGGAAACCAGTGGTTCCTAACCTGTGATCCGTGGACCACCAGTGGTCTCCAATGAAAATATGGCCTCACCAGTACTACACCATTGCCTATCTTATCAGGCTCACACTTCCCATTGAAGTACTGGTGAATTTATGTTTGATAAAATTGTTCTTCATTTTAAATATTGTATTATTGTTTAAAAACTACAAATAAGATATATGTAGTGTGCATAGGAATCCATTTATATAACAGTCTTCTGAGATACCATGAACCGGCCCCCTGCTTAAAAGGTTTGAGGATCAGGTTTGTAGATCAGGGGAAGGCATGGGGCCTCTCTATTCTGCTTTGGTTAGACCTCACCTGGAATACTGTGTCCAATTCTGAACACCACAAATTAAGAGAAATATTGACAGGCTGGAAGGTGTCCAGAGGAGTGCAACTAAAATGATCAAAGGTCTGCAGACCATGCTTTATGAGGAATGGCTTAAAGAGCTGGGTATGTTTAGCCTGTAGAAAAGAAGGTTCTGTGGCATGATAACCATGTATAATATTTGAAAGGATGTCAAAAGGAAGCAGGAGCAGGTTTGTTTTCCATAGCCCTGGAGACTAGAAATCAGAGCAATGGATTCAAATTACAGGAAAGGAGATTCCACTTGAACATTAGGAAGAACTTCCTGACTGTAAGAGCTGTTAATCAGTGGAACTCTCTTCCTTGGAGTGTAGTGGAAGCTCCTACTTCAGAAGCTTTTAAACAGGAGCTGGATGGCCATCTCTTAGGGGTACTTGGTGCTTTTCTTGCATGGCAGGGAGTTAGACCAGATGGCCCATGTGGTCTCTTCCAACTCTATGATTCTATAATCCTTATGGATACAGCTGTTGTCCTTGTCTTTCCAAATTACTTCTTTCTCCCCTCACCCAATGATCAACATCTTTTCAAATTCCTGAAACTGATGCTAAGTTTAACCATATTTTGGAAAGAAAAATATCCACCCATCTTCATGGGGCTTCCAGACAGCCTATCAAGATTTGTTGTAACAGCAAATAACATTTTATTCATTTTGCAAAATCCCATGGTATATCACCCAAGAACAGGACAGAAAAACAAAGTTCTGTCTACAGTTCAGATGGCCAGCCTCCAAGACTAAGACATGTCAGATTGATAGCACTATTGTTCAACTGCGTTTTGATGTTCAAATTACGTTTTTATAAGTTTTTTTGTGGTGGTTTCTTGAACTTATCTATTCCCACAGTGGGTTACAAATGAATACACCAGAGATCACGGAAACTCAGAGGAAAACAAGATAAGAGGCTGTCTATAAAATATTATATTTCCCCCTTTTGTTTCCGATCCTTTCTCACTCCTGCTCTTAAATAGTAACTTATCATTTGGTCATTCTCTGCAGAAAAGAGTATATTTCTTAGGTTAACTTCAGAAAATATTATCATTTCAAGGCAATGCTGAGATGCTACCTACAATAGATTAGAGTGGAGATGGGCAACTTGAAGTTCTCCAGAACTTGTTATACTTGTCTCATTATACTTCAACACTGGCTAAACTGTCCATAGCTAATGGGACATCCAGGCCAGCCTAGAACTTCATTTTTGAGTAGTGGTATTTCAGTTTCCACAGTAGGGCGTATCTGTTTTCTTACCAGCTGCCTTCATTGGAAGACACAGGAGAGATTTATTCTTATGAGGAGGTCCATCGCTTGTGTTCGCCAACAAGCACATCCAATCTGCCTGGCACCCATTGGTAATCCACATTTTGCCACCATTTATGATATAGTCATCTCCTTTTCTTACGGCTTTTGTCTTGATGCCTATATGAAAATACAAAAGAAATTAAACATGTCCTTCTAAAGCAGTGGTTCTCAATCTGTGGGGCCCCAGTCTACAACTCCCAAAAATCCCAGGCAGTTTACCAGTTAGGATTTCTGGGAGCTGAAGGCCAAAACATCTGGGGACCCACAGGTTGAGAAGCACTATTCTAAAGTAAAAAACCTGGGCACTGAAAGCCAAACATTTAGCAGCCAGAAAACTATAAATAACACCCCTTGCACCCAAAGATGCACAGTACCCAATGTGAAACAAGTTAGTTTAAGACATATGGTGATGATAACAATGATCATCATCTTCCAACTCTTATGATTTTTTTGATCTACCAATGGTAGTCCGGGACTGTAAGACAAAAATGGACAACTGTAGCTCTATTTTGGGGTTGTTTCCATTAGCTATCACTATTAGTTATGATTGCTATGACTGATGGAAGGTGTAAAGCATAGTTTCCTATATGTCCCCCAACTACTCAAGTCAATACCTGGAGAACCATTTCTATTCATTTTCAGTGAGGTTTGCACAGAACACCTCCTCCTGACATCATGAACAAAATCACTTGAAAACATACAAAATGAAGAGTGGTCACTATCTCTCAGCCTACTAAACCTCGAGATTGTATAAAAATAAAGGGGGGGGGGGAATATTCCTTCAGATTAAATCCAACTTCAGTAAATCTAAAGAATCAATTAAATCTTCACTGATTCAATGAATCATTTCTAGTTAATCTTTATGTGTGCTTGCTGCTTTAATCTTAGAGGACTGTAAAACTGTATTTTTAATAGTTTGATGAAATTCCTATGCATGGTTTATTTCCTTACTTGCAACATCTGAGCCTGCCCCAGGCTCACTGACTCCTAAGCAAGCCACAACATCACCAGCAATAGTCGGAACTAGAAATTCTCTTTTCAGCTCATCAGACCCAAATCTGCAAAACAAAATAAAACAAAATTAATTGCTAATCTTTTCAAAATTTTAGAAAACAAACCACTCTGTAAGACTTCTTCCTTCCTCTTTTAAGGGAACAGGTTAACATTTCTATTTACATTCCCATGAGCAGACAAATGCAGAAGAAAAACAAACTAGGAGAAAATAACCTCTCTGCCTAATTCTTTGAAAAGGAGAGGGACAAAAGATATCCCAGAAAAATAATAAAATTTATCATTTGGCTGTGAAAGGAAGCAAGGAAAGAGAGGAAGTGGCTTGAGGTCCTAAAAAAACAGAAATTGATTTGGGGCTGTCAACAGGGTTTACTAATTTCCTATTTTTCAGTCCCTGCCTGAAACCAAACTGACCACCTTGGAAAACACAGTAGTGAAACACACTAGAGAATAAATGGGCTGCCTTCAGCAGAATAAGTCAAATCTGCAGTATAGCTGTGCCTTTATCTATGGTCTGAGAGTCAGACTAGCACCAATAAGTATTTATTTATGACATTCCTACCCCACCTTTCTCAACCCCAGAGGGGACTCAGGGCAGTTTTACACGTAGGCAACTATTTGATGCCTTAAAACAATGTACAGGGTTAGTCAAAATGAATAGGCCAATAAGAAAATTAATTTTAGACGAATGTATGTTTATTGTAACCAAACTACAGCTACGTAGCGACAGATAAACTATCAAAGTTTTGTCTCACCTTCAGAGATGTTCGATATGGGCGCCCCGTGTGACACGGCAGATGTCTAAGCGATAGTCCAGTTCATTCCACATCCGTTGCAGCACATCCGACGTAATGGCATCGAATGCAGCAACGTCTGGGAAGGTGTTCGTTGAGGTCCTAACCCTAACCCTAACCCTAACCCTATCCCTAACCCTAACCCTAACCCTATCCCTAACCCTAACCCTAACCCTAACCCTAACCCTTAACCCTAACCCTAACCCTAACCCTTGAAATTCTCGCTGGACCGTAATTACTGACATTGTTTTAGCAAATGTCATCACACAAAACGCCTTCTCTTTGCTTGATTTCCGCCATTTTGAAAACAGCGACCCCTAGCGACGCCTAGCGGCATTAACGTACATGTGTGTTGCTCAAAAAAAACTTTGATAGTTTATCTGTCGCTACGTAGCTGTGGTTTGGTTACAGTAAACATACATTCGTCTAAAATTAATTTTCTTATTGGCCTATTCATTTTGACTAACCCTGTACAATTAAAATAAACATTTTAATAAAATAGAATTATAAAATACATTTAAAACAAGACCTTCATTATTAATCACACTATCCACAATCATAGTCCGGGCTGTTCCAATAGTCATTGCATGTAACTCCATATTTGTATATTGCACAAGTTTTGCAAAGGCTTGATCACAAAGCCCCATTTTCACTTTCTTCTGAAAGGTCAGGAGGGAGGGGGCTGATCAAATATCCCTAGGGAGGGAATTCCACAGCCAAGAGACCATCTGAGAAGGTCCTGTCTCTCATCCCTGACATTCGTGCCTGTGAAGGAGGCGGGACTGAGAGCAGGACCTCCCCAGATGATCTTAAACTCCGACATGGTTCATAGGAGAAGATCCGTTTGAACGGGTATGCTGGGCCGGAACCGTTTAGGGCTTTATAGGCTAAAGCCAGCACTTTGAATTGTGCTCGGTAACAGACTGGCAGCCAGTGGAACTGACGTAACAAGGGGGTTGTATGCTCCCTGTATGCTGATATGGTGAGAAATCTGGCTGCCGCCTGTTGGGCCATTTGAAGCTTCCGAACAATCTTCAGTCTTCAAAGGTCGTAATATGGTGCTGTCCTAATATGTTGTAATATGGTGCTGTCGGTGCCCCTTCAGTAAAAGCGTAGCAAATATTTGTTATTATTTATTCTTATATTTTAATCCTAGAGATGGGAAGAAGTGCTGAGGGCTATTTTTGTTCCAAATCATTTGACAAGCCTTGAGAATTCAGTGCACCTTTTCAGAGAGGTGTGTGTGCTTTTGCTATTCGGCTTTTGGAACCAGTTTGTTTTGGACCAGGTCTGGAAATCTGGATACTTCTGGTGCACATTTTTCTCACATATACAATTGTACATATTACAGGGGAAAATGAAAAGGGAACAATTCTGGGTAAGCTTTTAGTGCTACTCCCACAAGAACTTGGAAAATTACTTTTAATGGTACCATGTTCTTCATTACAGTGTTCTAAAGAATAACACGTTTGTTGTTGCCCATTACAAGAATTAAAACAAAGAACTTTTATATCATTTGTTCCACTGCTCATGACATTCCCATTATTTCTGATAATTCTAGGGAAGGAACCTTAGAATAAGAGAAAGACATAAATAATTGCTCGGAAATAATACTCGAATTTGGGTTTTGCAATAAAGTTGGAATCACAGTAGAATCTAAACATTGTTTTTCTCAGTACCTGAAAAACACTCACTTAATTTCTCTGAAAGAGCAATCAATCTGCTTTGTGACAGATGGGATTCTTCCAGCACCAAACGAAAATATGCTTAATGCATGCACTTAATTCTGATTTAATGTGGGCCAAGAGTTCTTTCTCTTAATATGGTGGGAGAGGGAGAATTGTTCTTCTTTTACAACACACAGGGAAATAAAAGAAGCATCATGGAGTGCTGTGCAACTGAATTAATTATGAAGCGAGGAAAGTTTCTAATTAGGACTAACACTTTACAACATATTGTTAAGAGGAAAAGTGTAGCTTTGAGTATGAACAGCTGCAGGTGGATTCTTTACAATCCACATTTCATTAAATCACACGATGCTTGCCTGCTTAAAGGCCACATTCCACTCCAAGATAGGTGCCACGTCCTCTGGGATAAGCAATAGAAATTATGCATCCAATAGGACTCGTCAGGAATTATTAAAAAGAGCTTACCAGTATATTTCTAAACCATATGCTCCAGGGATAATCTATTTTCTTTCAGAGCTTGAAACCATTATTTTTTGGGATGGCAACCCCTATGATTCCCTGGCCAACATGGCTGTGGGTTCAGAAAGCACCAGGTCCAAGGAAGGTAAAATATGCAAGCCTTGGGTTGTTGTAGGGGTTTTTTTTGGCTATATGACCATGTTCTAGAAGCATTCTCTCCTAAGCCTTGCTTTCTGCTACATGTCTTGATAAAAGTGTGTCAACATTTATTTGCTTTTTTGTTTCTGGTGCAGTTGGGGAAAACAGCCAGCATATTCTAGTGGTCTGAGTGTTGGATTTGGATTCTGAAGACCTGGATATGAATCCCTACTCAGCCATGGAACTACAATGAGTCACTATGGATATTCCATCTCCAACCCAACTTTTATCTCTTTTGAGATCATAATATTATGTGCTGAAAGACTGGTGGGGGGAGGTGTTGGTTTGTTGATCTCATTCATAAAATCAAAGAGTTGGAAGAGATCACAAAGGCCATCCAAGCCAACCCCATTCTGCCATGAGGGAACACACAAAGCACTCTTACACATGGCCATCCAGTCTCAGTTTAAAAACCTCCAGAGAAGGAGACTCCACCGCACCCCAAGGCAGGATATTTCACTATGGACAGTTCTTATCATCAGGAGGTTTTTCCTAAGGTTTAGATGGAATCTCTTTTCCTGTAGTAATAGAATAAAGTAGACAGATGGATGCCTATTATCTGAGAGAGCTAGCATGGTATAGTGACCTTGGGCAAGCCGCTCTCTATGATCTTCAGAGGGAAGCAAAAACATATCCCTCTCTGGACTTTGTGGTCTTCTTAATAAAAGTGTATCCAGTCACTAAGCTGGGGAATTCTACATTATTCTATCTTATTTCACTGTCTTCCACAGTTCTATCATAGGGTGATTTACAAGAATTAAGCGCAATATATTACAATCCTTTCTAAAACAACTAAGCTTTTCACTTGAAAATTGATAAAAACAACAAACCTTGTTGGGCGCCTTGAAGAAAAACACGCATAACATTTACAAATCCATCTTATATTTTCCTCACTGCCTTCATTTTGCGCATAACACACTCTCTTTTTGTTCCTAATATTTTGGAGCGTGTATTGCCTGGTGGTGCAGTGGGTTAAACTGCTGAGGTGCTGGACTTGTTGACCGAAAGATCAGTGGTTCGAATCCAGGGAGCTTCTGCCAACCTAGCAGTTCGTAAACATGTAAATGTGAGTAGATCAATAGATACTGCTTCTGCAGGAAGGTAATGGCACTCCATTGAGTCATGCTGGCCACATGACCTAGGAGGTGTCTACGGACAACACTGGTTCTTCAGCTTAAAAATGGAGATGAGCACCACCGCCCAGAGTCAGACCTGACTAGACTTAATGTCAGAGGAGACCTTTACCTTTACCTTATTGCTTGCTGAAGAAAAGGAACTCTAAAGAAAGTAGAAAGTTACCTTGCAAGAGCAGGCGTAGCCATATCAGCTTGCACTCCAATTGCCATGGGAACACCTCCACATCGAATATTTCCCAGTTCTTCTGCCACGGCAATGCAGTAAGAGAAATCCAAACCCAAGCCGCCATATTCTAGACAAAAGAAATTGTAATTCTCTTTAGAATTATAGCATTGCAGCCTGATTTATTGCTGAATTCTTATTCTTACTCTTCTCCCTTAAATGGCCATTACAATAGTCTACTTAAATGTGAGTGGCATAAGGGTATGTGTAGCTCTCCAAACATTGTTGGTCTATACTTTCCAGCATCACCCAACATTCACTGTATTTATTTCTTTACTTACTATATTTATATCCCACCCTTCTCAACCCTCACGGGGACTCACGAGCAATCTTATAATTGGCAACAATTTGATGCCGTCAACAGACAATAGAAAATAGACATGTACATTAAAACAATTTAAAAACAATAAAACATTAAACACAATTTTAAAATCACATAATCCAAGGACATAGTCAAAGATCATTCCGACCATTATTGCACATAAGTCTACTTTACTTATTGCACAGACCATTGGCCAAAATCTTGGTCCCAGAATCATGTTTTACTTGCTTTCTGAAGGTCAGGAGGGAGGAGGCTGACCTGATTTTGCTAGGGAGAGAGTTCCATAGCCAAGGGGCCACCACTGAAAAGGTCCTGTCCCTTGTCCCAACCAACTGCACCTGCGAAGGAGATGGGACTGAGAGCAGAACCTCCCTAGACAATCTTATTCTCCAAGATGGTTCATAGAGGGAGATATGTTTGGACAGATAATCTGAGCCAGAACCATTTAGGGCTTTATAGGCTAAAGCCAGCACTTTGTATTGTGCTTGGTAGCAGATGGGCAGCCAGTGGAGCTGGCATAACAGGAGGGATGTCTTTATACTGCTCCGGTGAGCAGCCTGGCTGCCAACTGTTGGACAACTTGAAGCTTCTGAACAGTCTTCAAAGGCTTCACATAGAGCATGTTGCAGTAGTCTATATGAGATATAACAAGAGCGTGGACTATTGTGGCCAAGTCTGACTTCTCAAGGTACAGGTGTAACTGGCGGACAACATAGCTAGGGCTGAAAGGAACTATAGCCCAACAACATCCAGAAGCCAAATACTTCTCATTCCTGGGAAACAGATTTCCCCGGTTTTATTAATAAAATGAAAACTACTCTAAAATTAAAATATTTATAGAAATTAATAGTATTCAGCATCTGCTAAATTAACAGGCATATTGGGAGGGGAACAGATGAGAGCAACTGTAGGGGTTCTGAATCACTGTTTCATCACCTCCCATTTTCTGTTCATCAAGTCTCCCAAAGTGATTAGTATACCCTTCTCAGTTGTTCACAAACCCACTGTAGTGATGTAGAGTAAAATATAACAAAGAAAAAATCTTAGCGTCTTGGTTTTTAGGTCTGTTCCTAGAGTTATTTGGAGTGCTAATTCAGAAAAAGTGTATTGGACAGATCACATCAACTCTAGTTTCTTAGATACGGCTATCATGGTTTTCTATGGGCGAGTCGATAAAGACTGGTATATGGCAAATATTCTGTATCTCTACAACTAGAGCTTCTCTTTCATGTCAGGAGTGACTTGAGAAACTGCAAGTCTCTTTTGGTGTGAGAGAATTGGCCATCTGCAAGGACGTTGCCCAGGAGATGCCTGGAAGTTTGATGTTTTACCATCCTTGTGGGAGACTTCTCTCATGTCCCCGCATGGGGAGCTAGAGCTGACAGAGCGAGCTCAACCTGCTCTCCCTGGATTCAAACCACTGACCTGTTGGTCATCAGTCCTGCCGGCACATGGGATTAACCCATTGCGCCACTGGGGGCTCCACAACTAGAGCTGATACGGGAAAAGTGGTGCCATTTTTTGAATCAAAAGGTCAAATATATCCAGAAATAGGCCTAACATTTGAGGCATCTGAATGTGTATTGGCCAATACAATCCAAAATCAGTCCAAGTCAAACCACATTTGTTTACTTTAACCAATAAAAAAAGATTTATTAACAAGAGATGACAAAATTATAGTGCATTAAACAAATATGGAAAATATTTCTAACTCTTTAAAATATCCAAACTCAAAACATGCAGTCTTTTCTTTATTTAATGCTATAGAACAGAGATGTAGGGAAGGTGTGGTTCTCCAAATATGGTTGAACAACTGATTGCTCATTCTTTTTTATCAAGGATGAGCAAAAATGTATATTTATATCCATAATTTATACTTATATACTAACTCATTTGCACATCATGCAAATCCTTGCCTGCTTTTGCTCTTCTATGGGCGACTCTTATGCCTTTACATCTGACAGCACAGGGTTATAACATTTTAATAAATACTAATCTTAAAGGCATGTTTTTCATAGAATAAAAAGACTGGAAAAACATAAGCCCATTATTGCCTCCAAAGTCAAGAAGTGGAATAGACATATGCAGCAAATGCCAGCATTTGATGAATTATGGAAATGTACCACAAGCTAGTGCTTGGTACTTCCATGAGACAAGATTTTGGGTGGAATCATTCCAGTGTTCATTCAGTGACGTTGGCGGGTCTGATAGTATGATAACTTTTGCACATTCTTGGGTGGAGTTTTATTGCATTAGATGTTCCTGAGGATGCACTGATTGTGCTTCAAGGCAGAGTTCACTTTTTGACGAAATCTACATTCACCTGAAAATGCATTTTCCACTTTCCTAGGTCCAGGGAAGTAATGCTACCCCTCTATTCTGCTTTGGTTAGACCACACCTGGAATATTGTGTCCAATTCTGGGCACCACAATTCAAGAGAGATATTGACAAGCTGGAATGTGTCCAGAGGAGGGCGACTAAAATGATCAAGGGTCTGGAGAACAAGCCCTATGAGGAGCAGCTTAAGGAGCTGGGCATGTTTAGCCTGAAGAAGAGAAGGCTGAGAGGAGATATGATAGCCATGTATAAATATGTGAGAGGAAGCCACAGGGAGGAGGGAGCAAGCTTGTTTTCTGCTTCCTTGGAGACTAGGACGCAGAACAATGGCTTCAAACTACAAGAAAGGAGATTCCATCTGAACATGAGGAAGAACTTCCTGACTGTGAGAGCCGTTCAGCAGTGGAACTCTCTGCCCCGGAGTGTGGTGGAGGCTCCTTCTTTGGAAGCTTTTAAACAGAGGCTGGATGGCCATCTGTCAGGGGTGATTTGAATGCAATATTCCTGCTTCTTGGCAGGGGGTTGGACTGATGGCCCATGAGGTCTCTTCCAACTCTTTGATTCTATGATTCTATGATTCCTCACTTCAGTCTAAAGATGGGAATTGAAACTTAAAGGGTGGAATTGAAACTTAAAGGGTGGAATTGAAACTTAAGAAGGTGGACGATTCCCCAAAGATCATGGCACTGCTATCCACAAACCATAGTCAGTTACTTTCTGTCATGCTAGTTAAGAGATTCTAGAGGCTGTATGTTAACAAACAACCAAACAAACATATACGGTAATCTTTTCCAATCTTGGGCTCAAATTAGTTGTCTGTCCACAAGTTGGAAAAAAAAGAGAATTAGAACTACATCCAGAGTCAGCAAGGCAGGCACATCAGTGCATTCACATAATTCACAAATCATGCAACTTACTGTAGTTTAATGAGACACTAGTCCTTTTTGGCAGAGAAGCTAAAGACCTGTTTTCTGCTGTCCTGAAATGTGGAACAATGGCTTCAAACCACAAGAAAGGAGATTCCACCTGAACATTAGAAAGAACTTCCTGACTGTGAGAGCTGTTCTCTGCCCTGGAGTGTGGTGGAGGCTCCTTCTTTGGAGGCTTTTAAACAGAGGCTGGATAGCCATCTGTCGGGGGTGTTTTGAATGCAATTCTCCTGCTTCTTGGCAGGGGGTTGGACTGGATGGCCCACGAGGTCTCTTCCAACTCTATTTTTCAATTACCTTGGAAAACTAAAACTCCCAAGATTCCATAGCATTAAGTCAGGGCAGTTAAAGTGGTGTCAAATTGCTTTCATTTTAAAGTGCAGGTGCATCACCTATAAAAGTGAATCCAATAATATGGAATTCCTTCCTAGTTTCCAGGACACTGGTGGTTTTGATCCTCAAGGAAACTAAAATCAAAGCCAGGCTCTGAAGTTGGCTTGCAATTTCTGGTTTGTTTAGGAGCAACAAACTAGAACTTTGGTTCAGACAAAACATTAATACAATCAATGCACCAACTTGAAAGAGAAATAAGGATTCTGGGCATCCCAGTTGGTTGTTTTCCACTAGCACAACCAAAATCTTTAGAAAAATGCTAAAACACTGGCATCATATCTGGCATCTGCATCCTAAATTCTGGACCTTGGTTTTATTAAGTATGGAATTTACAGGACATACTGTATATACTTGAGTATTTGCCTAGTTTTTTTTAACTCTTTTAAATACCGAAAAAGCCCCCCTCAGCTTATACTTGGATGAGGGTCCTGGCGGGAAGGCGTGGGGCTGAAAGAAATGCTTCTTTCAGCCCCACACCTTCTTGCCAGGACCCTCTACTCTCTGTACAGCAACCCAGCTCTCCTTCCTCTCCTCCTCTCTCGGCACCATTCTTTCCCAGTTATTCATATACATACAGCATTTCCCACAAAATGCATAGTTAAAATAAACTATGATGATTATTGGATGTAAATCAGGGTTCCCCAAACTAAGGCCCGAGGGCTGGATACAACCCTCCAAGGTCATTTACCTGGCCCCTGCTCAGAGTAAACCTAAGTCTTGAAAGCACACAGCAACAGCAATCCTATCTCATCAGCCAAAAGYAGGCCCACACTTCCCATTGAAATACTAATAAGTTTATATTTGTTAAAATTGTTCTTCATTTTAACTATTATATTGTTTTATGTGTTTTTTGCACTACAAATAAGATATGTGCATAGGAATTCATTCATGTTTTTTTCCAAATTATAATGCAGTAGCTGCTGCATTTCCCACCCTTGGCTTATACTCGAGTCAATATGTTTTCCCAGTTTTTATGGTCAAATGAGATGCCTTGCCTTATATCCGGGTAAGCTTATACTTGAGTATCAACAGTAATTAGTAAAATATGTTGCAGGTCAAGAAGATATGTGCAAAGGAAGAATGGTTTA